AAGAGATCCGTCTTGACAGCCTTCTTGAAGCTGTCCAGTGATGTCATTTGAGCCAGTGGAGTCACTAGGGTTGGTATCCTCCGGTACAGGGAGCCAAACTGCTGTCCAGACCACCACCCCCTACGTATTCAGTTCCACATAGAGGCTGCCATGCAGGACTCCAAATGCATCACGCACCCCCAGCAGCCACTGCTACTGAGGGGGTGGTGATGTAGCCTACAGAGGGCCTGTTTAGGGTCCAGCGCAGCTGCCCAGAGAGAAGTGTCATCCAATACGATCCACACACCCCATACCCCCTTAGTGATGCAACTGCCTTAAGGTACGAAATGGTCCTTGTGCATATGGTACATCCCTAGCCTTGGACCTTTTGCGAACAGTGCAAGTGCTCTGTCACTTAGGTGTGAGTTGCAAAGAATTAATGCAGTTTGACATCACTTTAAATACCATGCTCCCATCCTATGAAATCCACTGATTTATAGTTTGTTGTGGCATGAATGTTCTCTGACACAGATGGCTAAATATCTTACAAAACTACAGTCCCAGAATTCCATAGCATTGAACCATGTCAGTTAAAGTGATGTCAAATGGCATCAATTGAAATAAACCTGGTGGAACAGTGGTAATTGTTCTTAACTGTCTCTGGAAATTTTATGATGTAAGCCGCCCCGATTGTGCACAGAGGGGCGGGGTATTAAATAAAAATTATTATTATTATTATTATTATTATATTAAATGCCAGTACTGCACCCACAGTATTGTGAGTTCAATCCTGAGGGGCTCCCAGGTCGACTCAGCCTTACATCCTTTCGTAGGTTGATAAAATGAGTACCCAGCTTGTTGGGGGCAATTGGTTTACATGTTGTAAATCACTTAGAGCCTGCTTAGTTCAGTATGAAGCAGTATCAACATGTAAATGCTATTGCTATTGCTTAATTCAGCAGTGTAGATGCAGCCTTCCAGAGTGGAAAGTTGAACAGGCATCCTATATCTTTAGCTATCTTTGTAGAAAAAGAGACACTAGGAAAGAAAAGCCGCATTTTCTCAAATCCCTTTTCTACATACATCTTTTGAAATCATAGTATATTTTGCATCTGTTCACGCTAATAAACAAGTTTTGTCATCACCTGTAGTGTTTCTCTAAGAGAGGGAAGAAGTGGGAGGCTAGATTCATGCTCCCTATAGATCAGGGATCGGCAACCTATGGCCCGTGGGCCGGGTCCACCCCCCCGAGGCCTTTGGACTGGCCCCCACTGACCCCGCCACCACTGCCAACCCCCACTGACCTCCGCCACCGCCGCGCATGCTGCTGCCGCGCCTCCACTGCATGCGTCGTGGCCACCATTTTGTTTTCCAAAATGGCGGCCGCGACTTGCTCGCACATGCACAGGACTCCGGAAGTACTGTGCATGTGTGCGCATGTGCGCACGCCACTATTTCCCCGGACCAGCCCCAGGTAAGGGGAACTTGCCGACCCCCGCTATAGATAAATGTAACTCCGGGGAACAAAATATCATGGAGAGCAAAGGGATGGTCAAGATTATTTATTGGGAACCATGGATATCAATGATGTAAAGGTTTCCCCTTGACATGAATGTCTAGTCATAACTGATTATAGGGGACAGTGCTCATCTCTGTTACTAAGCTGAAGAGCCAGCGTTGTCTGAGGACTACATCACTGGTCATGTGGCCAGAATAATTGTACCGAATTCTGTTACCTTCCCACCAAAGTGGTACCTATTTATCTACTTGTATTTGCATGTTTTCAAACTGCTAAGTTGGCAGAAGCTCAGATCAGTGACAGGGGCTCACCCCATCATGCAGCACTTGGGCCTCGAACTGCCAATCTTATGACTTTACAATTGTCAGAATTAGCGTCTTAATCACAACATCTCTGATTACATTGCAATGAAAAGCTGGGAGGTAGGAATGATATCACAATAATATTGTGGGACAATGCCCTCTGTCCCTCACTACTCCAACGAAATATCTAGGAGCTCAGAATTATTAACATGCAGCAGTACATAAGCAGCAACTGTTGTAAACACGTAGCACTGCATCAGGGCCATAATGTTTTCCTTTTTGCAAAGAAAGGCAGAATATATATTCAGAACATAAATTAACAAGTGTATTATGCACCATATTGGATATTCATACAAAGACGCAGCTAGTTAAAAACATAATTAACCAGCACACTGTAACAATGACGGAAAAGGTTAGGCTGTGTTCACTTTATCAGGAGTCATTGCAAGCATCAACACTGAATATAAAATTAATGTTGTAAATAATTACAAAGACATTTGCAATTTGTTCTACCATCTGGGGAATGGAAACATGGAATGGGTGGAGATGAAGCATATTACTAAGGATTTTTCTTGGGCCTATAATTTTCACTTAGTCCAAAGTATTTAATTACTGTGGCCTTTTATAGTATTTCATCATTTGGTTTATATTTTATGGGCCATATTCCATGCCTTGCACCACTGAGTCCAGTTTTAATAGAAATGCACTGCCATAAATGAGGAAAAATAACACATTTTGCCTCCTCTGGAAAAGTTATAAATACAGCTTATTAGGCCTCCTTTTGGCTGACTTCAGAACTCTGCAGTATGTGAATATTCTGTTCAAAGCTAAATGGAGGGAGAGTGATTATAAAGGAAGTAAATGTGGTAACTGAGTACCAGCTAGATCAGTGGTTCTCTTTTGGATCACAGACTCCTTCGAAAATCTGATGAAAGCTATATATCCCCATTCAAGAAAAATACACTTAAATATGATTTTCAAGAAGGAAGTAAACTGAAGGGAGAGAAAGGTACCCATTTCTCTGAGTCCTGAGAATCCATGGGCCATAGGTGAATAATCCCTATACTAGGTGATAAATCCAGCAGGGTTCAGGTGCACAGAGCCCTGCTTCCTAAACTGGAGGGGAAATGATGACGCATGGATGGAAAAAATGTGCCGAGGGGAGGGAGAGTTAAAAATATTTTCATCTGATTAAAGTAACAGGTGTTCAGTCTCTTAGAAGCTGAATGAATACAGTGCACAATTAACAGATTTAGTAATCAGAATATTTATCAGTATAATTTATAATCTTCTCACTGGCTATTATTTCTTTTTAGCTTTTAACACAGGCTAAATTCAATACTACACTTGTAGGAGGCTTCCTTCCAATCCACATGCAGCCTTGCACAGTGCCAAAAAAGGCACCAGAAAATTAGGAAACACTGGAGATTTTTTTTTACCACCCTCATATCCTAAAGGCACTGGATCCACCTGATCTTAGAACCTAAACAGGATTAGTACTTGGATGGAAGACCTCCAATGAATACCAGGTGCTGTAGGCTGTATTTCAGAGGAAGAAACTGGCAAAGCCATCTTTGACTAATCCTTGCCTAAGAAAATTAGGGAAGGTTACTTCAACAGCTATTGGTTATTATGCAAGCAACACCTACTGAAATTCCCTCTTTCACACCAACCATTAAGGGTACAGAAGTCCTGGCCATTATGTCACCTGGCAACTCTACAAGTCATGCAAGTTTTTGGGGCTTCATAAATATAAAAGTTCCTGGTAACTCTTCTTATGGTTCTTCAACTTTAAGCTGGGGGGAAAATTCTCTTGGAAATCAATAAAAAAAATTGACCTATACTTAGATACAACAGCCTCTAAAGCAGGGGTAGGCAACCTTTCCCCTTTAAGGGTTGAGGGACTTCAGCTCCCAGAATCCCAGGAGCTATTGGCCAACATGGGACTCTTGGCCAACATGGCTGAGGCTTCTGGGAGCTGAAGTCCCTCGGCCCTTAAAGGGGAAAGGGGAAAGGTTGTCTACCCCTGCTCTAAAGGCTAGATCCCACGTGTGGAACTAGGAGCCATCATTGGGGCAAGAGCATCATGGCTGTTCCCGTCTTAAGGGGTTGAGCAAACAGGCCAGGATAGCATGGACCAAGCCCATTTTATCCCAACCTGGGTCCTGACCCGGGCCGGTGTGGGTACAGACAGATGTTTACATGCACACAAAAGTTTCAACATAAATATTAGCTTCTAGAAAGGCACAACTACATTATG